TAATTGCTTTAATTTCATTCAAAATTTGCATGAGTTGCATTTCAGCATTCAAATTGGCGTTTAAATTGTTTAATTTGGTTGATTTGTAATATTTACTCTCGATAAGCTTCATTATTAATGGGCGACGGTGGTGCGCCGGTGTGCGTGCATGTGCGGGTGTGTAATAATATAAAAATTACATTCATAATTTATAAAAATGTAAACAAGTAAATAACAAACAAACAAGGCGTAAAAAACAGAGCAGATCCCTACGAGAGGCCGCTAGTTAAATGCCCTTCACAATGATGATAATGAGCTTCGAATTGCTGATAATCATGAATTTAATATGAATATTTGAATGTCTTTCATTACCAGACACACACTTCAGCTAGACTAAAGGCAACACCTGTGCGACAGACAGAGAGAGAGGCAGAATAGAGAGAGAGAGAGAGAGAGACACAGTTTATACCAATATTAACATGCCCTCTGCTAGGGTATATATAAAACAACAACTGTAATTGCTAGCAGCTGCAGAGTTATAGACGAAGGCGACAATGCCAAAGCACAGGATGTGTTCAATGCTGATGAGCATGAGGATAGAGAGAGAGAGAGAGAGAGAGAGAGAGAGAGAGGGAGAGGGAGAATGAGGAGGAGACCTGGCCATGTCCAGTAATTCAACGTGTTGTTGCTTCGTGTGAGTGCAACAACATAATTGTTGTAGCTGTTGAACTTGTTGACCATTTGCCGCCCCATATTGAAGGCCAGTCCCAAGCCCCGTTGTCCCCCAGCCAGTCCCTTGCCCTCCCCCGTCGACCAGGCGCAGTCCCAGCTCGAGTTGCAGTCTCGTTCAGATTTGCATAATAAATGAGATACAAAAGCCAAGCGGCTACTGTCACATAGCCACTGGCCGTGTGCCATCTATAATGATGATAATAATGATGCAGATATATGTTCAAACAAACATAGCCAGATAAAACCGAGAATGGCAGCCGAGCGGGCAGCTGGCGGAACGGGAGGGGCACAGACAGGTGCAAAAGGGCTGTTTTCAAAGGGGAAATGTCACGGCATATATGTGTGTGTGTATGTATGTATGTATGTGGATGAATCAAGGTGTGAGTGAATACAAACATACACATACACACACACTCACACACACACTAAATGGGGTGCATATGCTGCCTGGACAGGGCGTAGACGTATGACAAAACAATATGCAAATTTTGTTGCATACTTTTTGGAGACAGCGTGAAAATCATTTCAGCTAAGCAGACACCCAGCTACGGCTGCTGCTGCTGCTGCAGTCAGTCAGCCCAATCAAACAAATAAACAAACGCAACAACAACAACAACAACAATAGCAGCAGTCAGGAGAGGGGGTAACGGACAACGGCTACATAATGCCTTTCCGGTATCCAATAAACCGACTGCACTTGGACAGCCCGGATTTCCGCTTGAATCATTGATGAGCTATTAAAGTCATTTCTATTTTGCTGTTTGTTGTGCGGCTGCTACGGCTCGTCTAACAAGCAACAATCTCGAGCTCTACCTCGAATTTTGCCTCTACCTCTGCCTCTAGCTCAACCCTACACCATTTCCGCCCACTGGCAATTGCACTTTTGCCTCGCTGTTATTGTTGCTTCCATTGTTGTTGCTGCCTCAGTCATCAACAACTTTTGTCACGTTCAAATTCCGTAGTTTATCACAACGCGTTGGGGAATTCACTCTGCAAATTAAGCATGCGGCTGTCGTGGGTGTCGGACTGAAGGGGAAATTGCCAAAAAGCAGCTCAAGCCAGGTGGCAACGCTGTCAGTCAAGTTGGTCATGGTGCTGCTAACTGCTCATTTAAAGTATCGATTATTATCGTTTTGAAGCGTATCGATTCGAATATCGATTAGCTTGTGAGATCAAGTCATGTCAAGTAGCGTTAGTTATGGGCGTAAAGCTAATCACACTTGTAATATCGATAAGTCACTCAGTCAAATCGATCATTTCTAGTGTCGATAGTTATCGATTTTAATAATTTGAATGTTCCTTACTGCCTGCCTGCCTACCTGCCTGCCAAGAAACTAGTCAAGTAGTCGATACACAGTGCTCATAGTTTATTTGGTATATCGATATATATCGGCTTGAATCAGTTTACTTGTATAGAAGCTGGAAATCGATAATATATAATTCTGCTATCCACCTTTATTTCCATGAATATGACAGTCCTCACTCCCGTTTATAGTATCGGTAATTATCGACTCCAAGCATATGGAAATAGCCTCACAGGCCATCCTTTATTCAGCCACCCGTTCATTTATCGATCAATTATGAACTTCGATTCGGTCGCTTTTGTCCGATAATCAACTTGCCTGAATGTACATAATTTGATGCTAACAATTAGCGCAAAAGGAAAAGAAATTGATTTAAGCCGCTTTTAAGTGCCGCACACAGCGACAGAATGCATCCATTGTTTACGTATGTCCTCTCGCGGCATTCTTAATGAAACTCGACATGGGACTCGAGCAGTCCCTGCGGGACGCGCAGGGCTGGACGGCATGTCCGATAGGCAAAAAGCTTAAGAGCCGTTGCTGCCCATTCGCCTGACTGCCCGCAGTTAATGCATACCCTGTAAAGAGTGGCTTAAGGATGAGGCTCATAAATCGGAAATATATATCGATAATTATCTATAAGAATTTGCAGACATGTCTAAGGGGATTTTGGAGTTGACAAGTAAATATTTATTTGATTTACTTGATGAATCATTTCGATAAATCACCCAGTGTTAAATCCGATAAATATCGATGACTTTTTATTGAACAAATGAAGAAGAAGTATATCGCGTTGCTAGTTTTTTTGTTTCGTGTGACTCAAATCACGCAATTACAGGGTATTTGTTTAGCCGTTCATTTTGAGGGCGCAGCACTTTAATTTGTTGCTGCTGTGGCCGTATGCGGGAGGACGTGGCAATTGCCACGACGACAGCGACGACGTTGACGGAAATGAAAAGATAATTTACCCGCATGTTTCAGCATCAGCATGCCATGCCACGCCCACGCCCACGCACACGCACACGCACACGCACACGGACAGGCACAGGCGAAAGCGAAGGCAGCGGGCTCTGAGCGGATGGGATATACATGAAGATGAAGCTGACTCCCATGTAGGCGGGGATTGGGTCATCATCGTGCCGCTAATGCTAATGCTGGTTATCTGTCTATCCATCAGCTGGCCATGTTATGATGTAAATGCCGAGCCACTCGACTGCTGCCACTGATGATAATGGCCACCACAATCCGCCGGCTGTGACTCCAGCTCCAGCTCCAGCTCCAGTTCCAGCTCGGCCACCGCCACCGACTCCAGCTCCGAGTACGGCCATGACTTTGGCTCCGGCTGCAGCTCTGGCTGCGACTCCTGTTCGAGGCAAATATGTCGCTGCCCGTCTTGTCATTGGGCTTTGCTGTCGGCAGACGAAGCTGCCAAACATTTAGTCTGTCTGCGGCGCACACACACGCACACACACACGCACACACACACACGTACACATACACACATGCTCAGTCACAAATTTATTGTTCTTAAACATCTGAGCATGAATGAATGACTGTGCCAGCTAACTGGAACTTGCGTCTGGCCATCGGTATTGTTATCGAGAGTGGGTATCGGGCACTGCGGCTGGAGCCCGGCCCTGGTTATATTTGAATGCCAAGTTGCCAGTTGTCACAAAGTGAGTGAAATATAGCCAAAATGTCAAATGTCAGCGAAAGACATTATTACTGGCTAGTTGATCCGACGTCTCCGTCGTCTCCGTCGTCGTCGTCATTGTCGTCGTCGCCGTAAACTCCAACTGCTGCTTCTGCTTGTTGCCTGCCTTCTTGTCATACGCCTCATCCTGGTACGGATTGTCTTCGTCTGCAACGGCGCAGATAATCGATACGCACACGCATTGCATGCCCTCTCCCTCTCTCCCTCTCACTCTCTATCTCTCTCTCGCTTTGGGTGTGTGAGACTGAAAACCGAGACCATGTCAGCCCATCAGCCAACATCATCAAGCGTGTGTTGCTCCCGCTGCTGCTGCTGCTACTCCTGCTACTCCTGCTGCTGCTGTCTGCTTTATCCGGGCCTTTAAAAACTTCAGCTTGAACTTCAACAGCCTTGGCTTTTAATTTTCTCATCAGGCTCGACTGAAAAACTAATTTAAGCTCACAGCAAAAATTCATTTAATAGCGTTTCATATATTACAAAATAAATCCAATCAATTATTTATCGAACTTCAAATTTTTTTAAATTATACAAGTTTCTGTCGGATACAAAAGCTTTAAGTAGGATTTTGAATTGCAAACACTTTGCATTCTGCTGCACGAACTATTCTCATAAGGTAAAGCAAGCTTAAATGGAGCTTTAACTCAGAGATTGTTTTACAGGATTGAGCTATGAGATTACTTTACGTATACTTTCAAGTGCTCTGTGGAGCTTTTGAGTTGTTGCCGTGTGTGATACAGTGCCAACTTTGCCGAGCTTTAGCTTAACAGAGCTTCGCTAGTTTTCATCAATCAAGTATTCTTCAGTGGGGCTTATATTATTTATGGGAAAAAATTTGAAATTAGTTAAGAAACTATGCTTTAGACCTATTCAAATGATTATAGTTCAATGTGAAACAACTTATATTATTCCTTCTGCTGCAAATAAAGAATTTTAAGAAAGCTTTAAGCCATACAGAGATAGTTTTAGATATACGTAAGCTATCAAAGCTACGTATAACGAGACTGCATCCTGCTTTCCATCTATTTAGATACTGCAAATACGTTATATGCACTTAAACGAGTTTAAGTCTTAACAAAGCTTTTTCAGCATTAATGAGCTTTCAATGTTATATCTGAAGCTGTTTAATGCTTCAACTTCAAACAGAGCTTTACAGTCACTCAGGTTTGGCGCAGCTTTCATGGGTTTTTCGAACTGAGTCGAGCGCTTTGCAGCTAACGTCATTTGTTAACGGGAATCTAAAGCTTCAGTTCTGACTTAAACAAATGTTTGTTAATCTCGTTTACACACACCACTCAACACACACATTCAACAAGTAGAAAAAGTGAAATTTCCGTAATAGCTTTAAGCGATTAGCAGGGGGCGGGCATCCACACGAAATGGAGACTCTGCGCAGAACCGTGGTACGCGAATACTTCGTGGGCGACTACAAGCTGCTAGATCAGTTCGACAAGGGCGCCTTCGGCGACATCTACCTGGGCAGGTGCCTATACACTGGCGAGCGTGTGGCGATCAAGAGGGAGAAGAAGCGCACGGCGCATCCGCTGCTGAACTACGAGCACCGCGTGTACAGGACAGTTCGTCCGGCTGTGGGGCTGCCGCGCGTGTACTACTTTGGCGAGGCGGATGACCATCGCGCCCTGGTCATGGAACTGCTGGGTCCCTCGCTCCACCACTTGTTCGAGCTCTGCGGGCGAGCGTTCACCATAAAGACCGTGCTGATGCTGGCGGACGAGCTGCTGTTGCGCCTGGAGCATCTGCACGGCCGGGGCTTTGTGCATCGGGACATCAAGCCGGAGAACTTGCTGCTCGGCCATGATCTCACGTGCAAGTTCGTGCATCTGATCGACTTTGGGCTGTCCAAGAAGTTCTGGGATCCCATCAGCCAAGTGCACATACCCTACCGCGAGGACTGCAGCTTGACGGGCACAGCGCGCTTTGCGTCGATCGCCGCCCACGAAGGCATCGAGCAGTCGCGTCGCGATGATCTCATCGCCGTGGGATATGTGCTCATATATTTCCTGCGCGGCAGCCTGCCCTGGCAGAACCTGCCGGCCCCTACCAAAGAGAAGAAATATGAGGCCATCTACGAGATGAAGCGCTCCATCAGCAACGAGCAGCTCTGCAAGGACTTTCCCAACGAGTTTTCCCTGTACATGAACTATTGCTTCAAGCTGGGCTTCACTGCCAAGCCGGACTACGCCAAGCTGCGCAAGAGGTTCCGCGGGCTGTACGACAAGCTGTACTTAAAACGCGATCTGATCTACGACTGGGAAAAAATCAACTTGGAGTTTCATCACGATCAGAAGAATCCTGCCATGCCCTCCAGATATGCTCCCGCCACCTATCGCCAGGACGATGGACGCAGTGGCTATCCAATCATACGCAACGATAAGGCAGGATACTGGAGTGCGCCAGCTAACAAATGCGGGATTTATAGTCAATGAACTAGCTCTAAGAAAAACCAAAACCAAAATACTAGAAAATAACGCAGACTATTTCCACATGATCGGAATTAGAGTAGAGTTGCAGGATTAACCATGATGAATGAGCCCAAATCGTAGATATATTGTTAGCTATACGATGCACGTCTTCTTAATCGTAAGATGTTTCCAAAAGTATTTAATCTCAGCAAAAAAGTTCCAAGTGTACATATTAAACTACTGATAACCAATAAATGAATAATAATAAGCTGTATGAACTAGTTCCAATGGTGAATGTTTAATGAAAAAGTTGAGTAACCTCCCAAAATCAAGTAATCGGATAGGTGAGCTAGTTCCAATAGCAAAAAAGCTACCAATAGACATTCTAAGTGAACTAGTTCCGATAGTAATCGGAAAATCAATAATCTTCAAGAGCTTCAGATACCATCACTAACCATAAAACATGGTATGGTTAATGATACCATAGAATAGATATTATAATAGGCTAAGTGAACTAGTTCCAATTGCAAATGAGTTGCCCCTAAACTGGAAATCCGCTCTGGCTAAGAGGTATGCAATACAAATAATTCATATTAGATTAAAAAAAAATAAAATAAATTAAAAAAAAAAAAAAAAAAACATAAAATTTTTAGTAAGCTTTAGACTTTTATTAAATTTTTGTTTTGTATTGAATAAGATGAGAAAATTAAATTTCCGCTTGATTTTTCTAGTTATCTAAAGGAAACAATTTCGAATTGGGCAACAATATCGAAAATAGGAAAAGTTGGCCAACATTTTTTCGCAAAACCTCTTGAGAAATTCGGACTAGGCAAACAGTTTGGAGAGCAAGAAGTGCTTAGCAGGCAAGCGAACTGCATTCACCTGGATTCAGTGTACCTGGAGCAACAAGCCGCAACAAGAGTCCCCGCCCATTCACACCCACTTGAGCTCTGGATGGGCGTATGGGAGAGATGGAAAGAAATCAAAAACACAATCAGATGTTGCCATAGTTGCAGCACACTCAACAAACAGATAAATATATAGTATATGGAGAGATTGTGAGAAGGAGAGCGAGAGAGAGTGGGTGTGTGTGTGTGTGTGTGCGAGGGAGACAATGAATGCCTGAGGGGCGTTTGTGGAATGGACAGCATCAACAGCCACGCTTCAGCGGCGACAGCTAATAAAAATTGTCCAGTTTTTCCAATTTGAGAGATGCCAACGCCAACAGTCCCCCTCTCAAGAGAGAGAGATAGATGGAGAGTGAGAGAGAGAGGGGGAGGGAGGGAACGGCAAATAGAGCAATTTAAATTGGAACGTGATTATGCAAACGTTTGCGCAGCTTAACTCAAGTGTCGCTCCGTGCCGCTTGGCCAGTTGCCGCTGCTCCACACACACACACACACACACACACACAGAGGCTATGGGGTCATGCATTACAAGACTTGAATCAATTGTTGAGGCCATGTGTGCAACAAATCCAAAGAAAGAACTACTACACACGCAGAGAGTGAGAGAGAGAGAGAGTGGGAGAAAGAAGACGGTGCAGTCGAGTTGACCATTAACCAGGCTGAAAGCATTCAAAGCCCTTGAGTGCCCAGCAGCCAACAACTAGTGAAGCCATCAGCTCTGGCCTAAGACTCTACTGCAGCCAGTCCAGCAGGCGCCGCATCCTGCGCCCGGCCAGGCATTCCAGCAGCAGCACCAGCCCGGCCAGGGCCATCAGCGTCGCGTAGCCGCGGTAGAGGCCGTGCAGCATGTCGTTGGTGATGCGTGTAACCAGCTCCGCGTTGCTGCCGACGTCGCCGAGCTGCGGCGCGGCCAGATAGCGGCGCTCGATGTGCGAGAGGACGCCCGAGCTGAGCAGCTGCTCGATCTTGCGGTCGATGCTGAACTTGAGAATCGTGTCGTTCGGAAAGTAGATGACCAGCTGGTACAGGTAGATGGGCTCGCGGATGTGGGTGAGCCGGCTGTCGCGCCGGTGCTTGCGCTGCCAGTGCGCCAGATTGTTGTCCAGCGAGATGGTGACCAGGCGCGAGCCCCGCCGCGCCTGCTGCAGCAGCTGGTAGCGCTTGGAGAAGGTGCCCTCCGTCAGCTGGGTGAGCCGGCGCGGATAGAAGTCGTGGTAGCCGCTGCTGATCAGCGTGTAGTTCTGGTCCAGCAGCCCGGCCAGGCCCTGCGGCAGCGGCTGCTGCTTGGGTGTGCGCAGCACGTCGAACAGCTTGGCCTGGTACGCGCAGCGCAGCACCAGCGTCAGCAGCAGCCAGTTGGCCAGCAGATGGCGCAGGAGGCTGCTCTGCGGCACACGGTGCGTCGGCACCGGGTTGCCCGTGGCTGAGGCCAGCAGGTTCTCCACTGGATGCTGCAGTCGCAGGCGCCGGCCCAGGCAGCGCGCGCAGAGCAGCGCCGCGAGCAGCGTGGCCAGCAGGCAGAGCCAGACGACCGACTCGAAGGGACGTATCAGCTGGCCGAAGGGTCCCCGGTAGCGCTCCGACCTCACCACGAAGATGAAGTAGCTCTGGTGATACACGGACGAGGTGGAGAACATGTGGCGACGTATATCCGAGCCACTGAAGCCGCCAATGGCCATCTCTGCCTCGCCAGCTGCCAGCTGAGTGGGCGAGAACGAAACGAAAACGAAGACGAAAAGTGATTTAGCTTAGCTGAGTAATCCAAGCTCTGACCTCCTCTCACCTGGGCGAAGCAGCCGCTGAGGCTGTCGGTGCTGAAGATCTCGCTCTTCTCCAGGGGTATCTTGAGGTGAACGCGGAACCGCAGCGCCGTGGCCAGCAGGCGGAGCAGCTCGCCGCCGATGCCATGCAGGTCGTGCATGTCAATCAGAGCACCGTCCGCTGGCAGAGCAGCGCCATCTGGCGCACGGTACATGAAGTGCGGCGGCAGCACGTGCCCAGTTACATTGAAGGCGCAATTGCTCAGATTGGAGAAGCGCACGGGAAACAGCTCCGGATGCACCAAAGTGCCGTCCGACCGAAACAGATTGCTTCGGTACGTGTGGATGCCCGGCGTGCAGTGCTCCCGGAACAATCTGTACGAATAGAGCGCGATCTGGTCATCCTCCGATCTGGTCATCGCCAGCACGACGACATTGATGATGCGCTTCAGGAGCGCCATGTGACACATGCGACCCACTGAGCGGTGCAGTTCGCTTTCCGGCAAGCGAGCCATGAGAACAATTAGAAAGTAGAACTCACGCTCCTGCAGAGGATGCGTATAGTTTAAATGGAGTTGCCTGGTAGATAGAGAGATGAGCAGAGAGGGAATGAGAGAGCGAGTAAATAATCAAGTTGAGTTAATGAGAGAGAGAGAGAGAGAGAGAGAGTGAGTCAGAGCTAAGGTATGAAAGATGAGAGACAGAAATAGAGGGGTAATAAGAGAGAGAGAGGAATGGAAATCGAAATGAAATTGAGGTAAAGAACGATAAGAGAGTCTAAGATCATATTAAAGATGTATAAAGCATAGACAGAAAGGAATGCAAGAGAGAGAGAGAGAGAGAGATAGAGAGAGAGAGAAATAGGAAATTTGAATAAAGTTAAGTCAAAGATTGAGAGAGTGGGTCTAAGAGTCCATGATCAAAGCAAAGCCCTGTAAGGTAACTCAGCATGAGAAAGCAGATCTCTCTCGCTCTTTCTCTGTTTGTCTCTCTCTTGCATGAGTTGGACAGAACATTGAGAGACGAATGGCAACCAGTTCACTCGATCTACTCACTCAAAGGCCTCTGCCTCGTTGACCACGATGAGCGTATAGTCCCAGGGCTGCTGAACGAAGGCGGTCGGCCGATAGAAGAGAATGGATGTGTGCAGGGCCAGCTGCTGGAGCAGCTGGTCAACTAGCTGTCGCTGCTGATGGTCCACGAGTGATGAGCAGTTGTGGCAATGCTGTCGCACCAGGAGCGTGTTGATCCTGGTGGCGATGTAGCGGCGTGCCACATGCAGCGTGGCCTCGCCCAGCCGCTGCACATCCCGATCGACAGGCGGAAGGCCAAAGAGCTGCGCTGGCCGCAGGCCAAGGCAGAGGCAGCAGAGCAGCAAGAGGCCAACTGGCGGCCGCATGAGGACAGCGTTCCGGGCCGAATGGCCGACCAGGAGCCGCCGCAGGGCTCGGCAAACTGGCAGGCGCTAATGTAATTGCTGTTGATTGCGCTGATACGCCCTAATGGAATTGTGCTGATAATTTTGACTAATTGGAAGCAATTGCACTTGATGCTCGCAACTTGGATTCGATTAACTTCGGCTCCGCTGGCTCAAATGGAATAATTAAAAATGCAGCTGGCAATGCGTTACGCTGGCTGCCGACGCTTACATAAGCCGATATGCTTGATTGAGTGAATCGAGTGTGCAGGGGCGACAGCGGGTCGGTAGTGCTCGACTAGCAGATACCTCAGCTCTGCAAATATAATGTATATTATATTACCCTGGGTTATAGCCAAGGTCTTAGCTAGTAGATAGACAACGGCATAGAGCGTGGTATCTAAATATCGATTATATCGATTTTTATCGATTAAAGGCAAATGAGACGTGTGCTTCAGGAAGGCATCGACTAGTATTGCATTAAATATAGAAATATTTATACAAAAAAAAAACCCTAAGGGGGCACTTATAACTCTATGGACTTAGGGCAGAAATACGCTCAGCGTAAATTATATGAGCTTAAGGGTAATTCGCAAAGGCAAAGACGATTCGTATTAATCGAATGAAGTTGCACATAAATGATTCAATCAAGTTATGTCACAAAGTGAGACTGGGTACTTCTAATTGAGGTTACGTCGAATTTGAAATGTGAAATGTTTAAACTATAGCAAATGCAGCTTTAAATTTAGTCAAGGCGACTCGAACCATCGCATGGCTCCCTCTACCCCCCCCCCCCCCCTCTCCCCCCTGTCTTTCTCTTTCTCCTTTCTGTCTCTCAATTTTTTTCTCGTCTTACTGAAAATGCGCCCAAGTAGGCGGGGCAAAAGCAATAAGCGCCACAAAACGCGCACTCTTGGTAATTTAAGAAGCAGCACAGGGACAAAACTTGCAATGGCCAGGCCAGGAGTGGGCTGAGCCGCGCTGCTCTGGTCCGGGGCTGGCCTTTAGGTTCACTTGATGTTATTTTACAAGGACACGCGCACAATTTATAATAACGCCGACTGCCGGCTGCCGACTGCCGACCGCCAGCTCGTCCTGGCTAGCGCAGCTAGCGGCCCGTGGACCACCAAAT